ATCACCATAGAGAACTTTGCCATCAGAGGCAGCCCCATGCCCTTAAATGGCTCAGGACCCTCCTGAGATATTAAAGAAATTACGCAAAAATTTCAGTTCAGGAGAGAAGTAAATAAAGAAGGGAGAGGGAGCCAGGGAAGACTTCATGGAAGAGGAGGCGCCTGAGTAGGAAGAGACCTTTAAAACAGAGACACAAAAGTTTTATACACAGGTTTTGTGGGTGAAAACAAGAGATAACAGCTATGACTATCTTTTCAAATAGAAGAATGTTCTGGAAAAATATTAGGAGGTTCATCATGAACAGGAAGCAAGAGATTGGGCTTTAAAACAAGCAGAAATGAAGGCAATTGTAGGGAACCAAGAAACAGGCAATTCAACCATGTCTCTCACTGCAAATTCCTCCTATAGCCCAAAAAGCATCCTTCCCCCAGATTTCCAACTTGTCAAGGGCCCAGGTGTAGGTCCCTTCCTAGAGGAAGCTCACACAGGGGAGCTCTCCAGGCTGTGGGGGACTTCTCCCAATCCACTGAGAAGCATATACACAATGGTGGATTTGCAAATCAGGCAGCAGGACCCCCAAAACCAAAACACAGACCCCAATCTTTTGAGACAATGTAGAGCTGGGGTAAGAGAGGGCAGAAGCGGCAGGAGGAGCTGGAGATGAATTCTGAGACTGTAGCAGGAGAAAGTTGAATGAGTCAAAATGGAAGCGACTTAACCAATGTTCATCAATACTGCAAAGTCCAAGGCCCAGAGGTTCCAGTATAAATAAAATGGGGTCCCAATCACCAAGGAGAGCAGAAAAAAGCTCAGTGTACCCACCCTAAAGACTATGTGGAGACTTTCACTGGTCCAATAAGCATACTGTTTTTGTAGCTGGTTTTCATCTTTAGTGGCCGACACACTTTTATATATATAAGTCCCTCTAATCCCCAAAAGGTCTCCATCAGCTATAGAAAAGGTATAATATGGTGCAATCAGGAAACCATCTTTTCTTCCTGATTTCTCTTGAGGGCCTACAAAGCATGTCCAGAGTATCAGTTCATGAATGAATTCCCAGGATTCCACATTTGATATGTAGATGATATTTTTCCATAACTCACGGCCATCATGTGCTGGGTGGACCAGCTAGTACAGTAATATAACTGTGTGATTATATACATATACACACATACATACATACATAGAAAACAAATATAACAAAATGTTACCACTTCTGTTGGAGATGCACAGAGAGATAAATTTAAACAAGAACACTCACTGCAATACAGCAATTTAGGAGTAATTGGAAGAAAACTCAACCAGGCAGCAACATGGAATGGTTAAATAAATTGTAGAACAGTCATGGTATTGGAAAACTAGGAAGCCTGTAGTAAGTTTGCTCTAGAGGAATATTTAATGGCATGAGACAATGCTTAAAAGTAGCGTGAAATAGGAAAAAATGATATTTATATAAGTTCATGTGCACATGGATTTTTATTTTCTTCTTTCCAGCTATGCCAATTTGTGATACTCTTTCCATTGAATATGCATTATTTTTGTCATCATTAATCATGACTGCAAACAGAAGCAATGGTAAAGATGTTTAGTTAATGATAGGAGCATGTATGCAAAAGATATATTTCTATCCTGGATTTGAAATCTGGAGCTTCCAGCATATTTAACATTTATGACCTTGGACCCATTTCTATATCTCTTGGGGCTTGGATTTTCTCTAAAACAATAAAGAGATAATATTCCTGAACTATTTGGCAGGGGGGCACACACACACACACACGCTACATGGAATAAATTGGAAAATGTTGAACTCTCTTCTTGGTGAGTGTAGACACTCAGAAATCAAGCAAGATTTTCACAGTGCTCTGGAGCGAGTGCTCACAGACCATGGTGATGGGATCTGGTCTGGCTGTGTGGGGGACACAGGATGGTGTCTGAGGGCTGCTACAATAGAGCCCCCACAAATGGGGTAGTGGAAGACAACAGAAGCTCATTCTCTCACAGACTGGAAGCCAATTTCAAAATCAAGATATCATGTTCCCTCCCATGGCAATAAGGAAGATCCTTCTCTTGCTTGCTTCACTGGCTTCTGGTATCTGTGGGCATCTTTAGGATTCCAGGGCATGGGATTCTACCTGTCCCTGGCTCTGTCTCCACAGTCCCAGTTCCTAGTGTGTCCTTGTCACCCCTCTCTTCTCCCTATAATCCTGCAGGCTCATCTAGTATGGCCTCATCTTGCTGGTCTCGTCTACAAAGATCCTATTTCAAATAAGGTCTCATCTCCAGGACCTTTGGGTTCGGACTCACATAGTCTGGAGAACACAATTTAACCCATAATGGATTCAACCTTCTGTCTAGAATCACTAGCAGTTGGAAAAAAGCGAGATCACAGTATCACGACCGAGGGGCATGAAGGAGAGACCTAGTACACCATCCATACTGATTTCCAAGACACGACAGATGTGTGTGTGTGTGTGTGTGTGTGTGTGTGTGTGTGTGTGTGTATACACCGATCTGTTTTCTCTGAACTTTCCCTAACACCAGCCCTTGAAGCAAATAATCAAGCTAGCTAGACCGCATGTCTCTCTTCTAGAGATCTTTACGGGATAGACAGAAGCTATTTGAAGTCGGGGTTCTAGAAGGGCTTTTCAGTAGGAGTATTCCTTTACATAATAAGGGTTTGTTTTGTTCCATTTTACTTTGGATGGAACCCAGGACCTCGGACAGGCAAATCAAGTGCTCTGGTGCTGACTTACCTCCTGCCTGAGCCTTGGATTCAGGGTTCAGAATTTGTAAGGAGAAATTCTCCTGTACTAGGAGGCTACAGGTCTTACATATGACCAAGTTTCAAATCCAGAAGGATGAGGGTGAGTCTTGAAGGGACCTCTCGGTATAGCTTACTTAAGGAGGAGAGATATCCCGAATACATGCTGGGTGATACCCTGGAAACAGGCCTGGATCAGAACAAGGGCTCTAAGCCGGAGAAAGCATCCACAAAATTCATAGGTGGGAAGAAACTACAGGACATGGGACCACGGTCTTTCCTGAAGATGCCCCCACAGCCTGAAATTCCTGGACTCCCTGTAAAGGAAGAGCCCCAAGAATGACTGATACTTAGGTTCTCAGCTCCTTGGAGGCCAGGGGTCAGATTCAAATATGAGCAAATGTTGCTGTAAAAAAAAAAATAGTGGAAAGGATCAGCCCCAAGTCACATGGTCTAATTTACCCAAGATTCTGGTCCAGAGTTTGTAACACATTAGGGGATCCATCAAGGGTTATGGAGCCTCTGAATAAATAGGCTCACATAAGAATCTCCAAAAACATGGAAACTGCTGGCTTTTCCAGGAGGAAGAGTACAATTTCCGCCTCAGTCCATGAGAAGAACAAACAATCCTGCCTAATCCAAATTCACTTTCATGCCTCTTTGCCTAAGAAGCACAGAGAGCCGCCGAGAGCCACGGACGCATCATGACAGAATAATTTCAGTGATCATTATCAAATGCCTCTATTTAGAAAAGCTCCGAAGATTGTATTAGCACAATCCAATATTTATGAAATGACACTCTGCTGTAATGAGGGACTGAGAAAATTAAGATTAGAAGCCAGAGCTATTCCTCTGGGGAGAAGGCCACAGGGTGGGAACAGCAGTAATGTCATTCTGCTCCGGGGAACTTTGGTCTTCTGATCTGAAAAGTGGAGGGACAGCAGTCAAGACTAAGGCTGTATGAGCAACTCATAACGGGTCTGAAGATGTTTGATAATGGTTATCCCTCCTTTCTCCACTAAGAAAATACCAGATAAAGATTTTTTTTTGCCCAACTGTCCAACAAAACGTTATTGAGCCCATTCTCTGTGTAATGTTACAGCCAGTACTAAAGAAAAAGTTACACAACAGATTGTGAGGGTCACCTGTGTTTACAGGAAACATCTTAGCCAGTGAGTGAAACAAAACTTCTACTGGGACACCTGTGGCTGAATACGGGGATATGTGATAGGAAGGGCCTGAGAGAGAGAAAGAGGAAAGAGAGAGAGAGAGAGAGAGAGAGAGAGAGAGAGAGAGAGAGAGAGAGAGAGAGAGAAAGAAAGAGCGCAGAGCCCGCGTGGTGGATCAGGCAGTGCTCTTCTAGGAAAGTGCAGTTCAATGGACACCACCTGGGGTGAGGACAACAAGCGGAGTGCAGAGCTCAATGCAAGCTCCTGAGTGAGAAAAGAGTCTAGAACATTCTAGAGACTGACCAAAGTCAGTGTGAATTTAGCACAGTGGGCAAGCAGAGCACGGGGAAGCCCTGGCAAGTTTTGGTCTCTTCTCCAAGACCAATAGATGGTCTCAGAAAGTCATCTTCAGAGCTCGGTGCCCGTAATGAAGGTGACAGGTACAGATCTATAACTCGCAACAGTCTCTTTGGCTTCTATGTGGAGAGTGGATTAAAGTCAACAGAGAAGGTATCTTCCAGTGACCCAGGTGAGAGACCAGGGAACTGGGGACAAGGCACAATGGCAGAGGCGGAGAAATGTGGCCAGACTGAAATGTCCTTGTGGGCATCAAGAGTTCATGTCAGCCTTTGTCCCACTGGCTCATGATCAGCCTGGCTTGTAGGGTACCAGGATATTTGCTTTATGAGCACTGTTCTGACTGCAGATGTTTCAGTACTTGAATAAGAGATGTGCATATAGAGCCTGGAAGTGAGGAAGCCACCTCTTTCAGGAACTCTCAAATCCCCCCAGACCTCATGAGTATGCATGGAGGAGAGGGTTCACACAGGGACACCTTACCTGTAGTGAAACTTAGGTTGTCAAAGCTAAAGGAGATTCTATGGGTTCCTGAATCCAAGCAACATATCAGCCCATGTTTAAGATTTCTTTGTTCCACATACCTATGAGGACGAGAATCTCACTTGCATAATTACCGCCCCATTCAGTTCAAACCATCAAAACCATTTTTGCCAGATGCCTTGGGAAATGCTCCATCCCCACGCCAGCCCCCAGGCCCTGGGGTCACGTACCTGTGGGCACTGCTGGGTCCAACATTGGCTTCTCCCACGTGTTAATCTGCTCCCAGGTAAAGCCATTAGTGCCCAGGGCCACGCTGTAACCGCAGTTGCTGTAGTGCTCGTCAAAGGAGCAGCCGCCTGCAGACAGAAGAGATAAAGGGTAAATACATCCTCGTGTCTGAGGTTTGCTCCATTACCCCTGTCTCATCGGCTCTTCATTTACGACTTTGAAATTTAAACTCTGGAGATTAAAAAAAAAAGCGAACAAATTGGATTTTCGTATTTGTTTTGGTGCTCTCTGGAAAGGCGCCGGCGCCTGCAGTCCCCCCCGAGTTAAAAAAGTTAATAAGGCTAGTTACATTGATTTCAATCTTCCTTCCTGAGAAAGTAAACAGCAGTGTCTCATCCTAAGTAGGGAAAATGAATGCCGAGGCATGCCTCGGTAATTGCTTCCTGCAGCACGGAATGTTGCCGCCGGCATCTGAGAGCACTCACTTCGGAGTCCAGTCAGATGAGACACAAATCCCCACTCTGCCAACTCGGGTCAGCTAAGGCCAGACACTGAGCTCATCTGTCCCCATCCCCTCACCTGCCCCATGAAAGGCAAGTGCCACCCCAGTGAAAGGTAGTGAGACGCAACCTGAAAAAATAATTACAAATAGGGCACAGGGCAAGTTCTCCATGGCCAGTTCCTTCCTCCGGAGGTAGTTTCCAAAAAGTCATTTTTCACATGGTAAAAATCAACTTTATGAAGAATTAGACAATAGCACATGAAAAAGATGATAACGCCAAAGCCGATGGCATCAGATGCAACTTCAAAGAGCTCAAGCCACTGGCTCTTTTACATAAGTTACCAGAACCTCTTTGAGCAGAATTTCCTAAGCATACACGATGGGTTCTAAGACACCCCTTCAAGCAGGGTGCAGGACCAGGGTTTCACCTCAGGAATGTTGGGCTATTCAAAGAGACCGTAGAAGAACTGGACAGACCATGGAGACCAGAGTAGCTCTGGGTGGGATAGGAGGAAGGAATATCCTAGGCAGAGGACAGCTGGATACAGAGACACTAATGGCATCAGAACTGAGTTCTGTATCCCAGACCCCAGACACACACTGGCTGTCCTGCTGCTGTTCCTTCTTTTGTTCACATTTCTACACATCACCAGCCCTCTCCCTTTACCCCCCAATGGTGTCCCTCACACAGAAATGGGGTCCCATCCCCTTTCCAGAGCCTGATGCCTCTAATACCACCATCACTGTTGTCTCCATGAGCTGAAAGGACAATAAAACTGGTCTGCACCAGGCTGGGATTTCCTCTGCTGAGGGGCATCAGATGTACTGCTCACAGATTTATACGAGTCACGGTCTCAGTACCACCAAAGAAATCCTACAGCCCATTATTTTCACTGTCACTGTCACTGTCCTCCCGTTGTTCGTCGATTTGCTCGAGCGGGCCCAGTAACATTGTGAGACTTGTTGTTACTGTGTTTGGCATATCGAATATGTCACGGGTAGCTTGCCAGGCTTTGCCATGCGGGTGAGATACTCTCGGTAGCTTGCCGGGCTCTCCGAGAGGGACGGAGGAATTGAAGGCAGAAGAATTGAACTCGGGTCAGCCTGTGCAAGGCAAACGCCCTACCCGCTGTGCTATTCGTGCATGAGAATTCAGAGGACTTGGTCTGTACCCTCTAGTGCATCTTAAGCTAGGAAAAGGAAATCTAGAACTTTGTGGGCTGGGACTTGAATTATCAGAGGACTAAACAGCTTTACAAGAATTTGTAGGGTGTTATGTAGACTCTTAGAGACATGGGAGAAAGGAAGAGGAGAGGGGTCAGAAAAACAATGAAACATACAGAAACCACAGAAGCAGCAGGGTGAGGGCTATTCTGGGCAGAGTGGAAACATCCTTTGGCTTTTTATCATCCGATGATTTAATCATTATTTGAGCATTTATTGTCGGTCTGGTCAAATACTCCATCCAAGCTTACAAAAAGGCAAGCTGCCACTAATGAGACAATTACCATAAAGAAGCAAACCCGTACATAGTTATGCCCACATGGATACTTGCTATAAGGATCACAGTTTGGGTGAGGGAGGAAACTGCTCACACGGAATTTTCTCAAAAGTCTTTCCAACCCTAAACTGGAACAGTTTCCTGTCCTGTGCTTTCCGGTCCCTTGACTACACCTGTCTGCCCATGAGAGCTGGGCTCTCCATGATAACCACAGGCTGCTGTGGATTTGAGAGCAGGCGGGAAGATGGACAATGAGCTCTGGGTTGACAAGGTAAACAGGCATGGTGGGACATGCAAGGATGCAAAAGCAAAGACTGTGGACGGGGGCGAGGGGAGCCCACCTCCAGATACCACAGAGAAGGCCAGGTGAGAAGAAATCAGCAAGCATCCATCAAACAATGAGCCTTAGAACTTCCTGGCACAGTCCCAGCACACAGTAGGGATTGTGTGTAATGTGTGTACCAACATCTGTGTAATAAAAGAGCCAATAGATTCCCACAGGAGGCAGGGCCAGATCCCATTGTTCTGAAGTAACCAACAGCCCAGAGCAGTTAGAGCCCCTTTCCCAGGCACAGGCCTGTCACTTCTACCTAGAAAACTCCCCCCCCCCCCCCGCCCACCCTAGACCACCTGACAAATTCCTAATGATGCCCCCAAACTCTCCTGTGAACCATCTCCAACAGGTCCCTGTCCTGCACTTTATCATACAGATTTGCCTGAACCCCATGGGTACACACAGCTCATGGACATGGATCACAGTGCATGAATCTTCCATGGAGCTTGCAGGCTCCTGGCAAGGCAGAAAGCGTAGCCAGAAGGATTAGTATCCCTGTGCAACAGGCAGATCCGTATCACAGAGCGGATGCAAAGAACATTGCCTAACTGCTCTGCAGTCGGTTTGCTCTCTGCTCCTGTCCAGCTGTGGTGGCCCGAAAACCCCAGAGGCAGAGAGCAGACCAAGGACAGGGAGAGAAGGAAAAACAGGGAAAAAGAGAGCGGTGAGCGCATGCTGACATTTTGCCTGCTGAAAGGAGGGGACACATTTTCCCTCGGAGAAACAGGAAAATCTGTTCCAACACCGGACGCGCGGCGTCCATACAATAAAAGTTCAATTGCTCAGGAAAATTACCACCATTCCAGGTACTCAGATCACCCAAGAACTTCTCCACGGGGTGTGCTAACAAAAGTCCCTCCGCCCCAGATGAACAATATCCCAAAGCACATCCACACGCTGTGTGAATGGCCAATTTCATGAGTCCATTTCTCCTAATCATTCTCAATATAAGTTGATAGTACCGTCCCGACATACAATTCAGACAGAGCGACTCATTGGGGCCCCATATGATGCCGTGGAAATATCTGCTCCCTGGTGGTCTGACTTAACCCACAGATAAGTCTTAAAAGCTATTTAGGAGGAAAAATATAGACTTAATAAGCATTCTGAAGCAAACCCTTCTCTTCAATTCTCCTCCTCTCTAACAGCAAATTAAGAACTCGAATTTCCCTGAGCTGCAGATTCTCTATCCCAAATGCCCTCTATACTACCAGCTGGGCACGGACATTCTAGCTCACACCCTGTCCTCCTTTCTAGGTCTCTGTGGCCTGGAGTGCAAAGCTAGGGGCTGGCCAAGAAGGTTGCTAAAGTGCCTCACAGCGGTGAGGGGTGAAGATTCCAGAGAGTCAAGAAGTGGAGACACTCAGGATTCACAGATCTGCCAGGACTAGGCTGCCGGTGGGTCCAGAAAGCCCCCTCTCCAAGAAAAAGAAAAGTCCCCAAGTATAAAAACAATCCACTATTCTGTCTTACTGTCCCACCTCCTGCTCCTTCAAAACATGCACATCTCAGGGTAATTTCCTGGGCTCACAAAATCCAAGAGGCCGAGCCTGGTGTAAGACACCCATGGCAGGCTGCATGGGACCCCTTATGATTGAGGATGTTCCCAAAGCACACTCACTTGGGTGCTCTCTCAGCCCATTTTCAAGAGAAGGTGTCTTGAAAATGTTTAACGATGACATTTAATGATGTCAACCCCTCACAATCATTTCAGGTGAAAACCAAAACCTCACAGGTGTCATTTTCCCCCCAAGATGGGGCTCAGTATTCAGGGCACATGTGCTCAGGGGAAGAGCCCCATTAGCGGGGGGAGGAGGGCAGGGCCATCCCAGGCTCAAAACCTGCCCCCCAACAAAGGAGCTATTTGCTGTGGATGGGCTGAGGTCAAAACGTGGCAAAGGCCTCGGATGCTTTGATGTGAGTCGAGCATAAAAAGTCAACAGAGAAATGGAAAACTGTAGCAAGGAAATTGGATTTTGAAAATCCATTTGGGTTGGGTAATGTATAGCATATCAGCATCTGTAAGGGAAGTAAAAATAGTGCAGGATACATACTTTAGGATACATTAAAGCATAAATAAAGTTTATAGTGCCAATCAGAACTTTTTTTTAAACATGAGCTCTTCTTTTGAAAATGAGAGAGGAATAGAATTCAATGAAAATATGAATGTGTCTGCCCCTGCATTTCTCAGATATGATCCTGTGTATTTGCCAATAGAAATTCGGGAAAGGAAAGGGAGATTGGACAAGTCTCTGCCCTGGGCTTAAGTGATCTATGTAAATGAATGTTAGTACCTGTCTAGGCATGCAGGTAAGTCTAGCCGCCCCCCACCCCCGCTACCACTCTCTAAGACAGGGGTCCACAACCTCTCCCTCTAAAGAACCAGAGAGGGAAGACAGTCGTGTGTCACTTGTGTGTCACAGGATGCCCCAGTGTCCCTCAGGTATAAGCAGCCACTATGAACTGGGACACATGTGGATGGGGCTGCACTCCAGGGAACTGCATGTGCAGGCAGGAAAGGAGTCAGACCGGTGAAGGACTGAAGGACTGAGTTTGCCAAGCCCTTGCTAGGAGAAACATGACTTGTTCAGGATGTTTGGGTTTTGTTTGTTTTTATTGTTGCTGTTGTTCATGTTTTTGTTTGTTTCTGGGTCCAACCTGCTGGTGCTCAGGGGTTGCTTCTGGCTCTATACTCAGTAATCACTCTTGGTGATGTATAGGATACTGGGGGTTGAACCTGGGTTGGCCATATGCAAGACAAGTGCCCTACCGACTGTGCTATCTCTCATTC